ACGCATAGCCTCGATTGTGTGCACGCCTCGCGTGTATACACGGTTGATGGACGGAGCGCAAGTTTCAACGGACCGATTCCGGCTTACAAAACGCGAAACAATGCCGGCCACGATGTGGCGCGTTTCTTTCGAGGTTAGAACGAAGCCGAGCTGCGGTTTTAATGAACTCGTTTTGACGTGACGACGCCCTCCCCCTCCTCTCGTTCGCTCCCGCTCGTTCTAGCCATCTCTCCGCCTTGCCTCCCTCGTCCAACCATTGGCCTCCGGCTCCGTGCTTCACGGAGCCGACTTAGTTAATTAAAGTAACCGTACGGTTTTTGATTGACGCCCAAGGCGTAAAAAGTCGTCGACTAAGCTCACCAAGTCCGGCTCGGTCGTCGGTTACGCAACGTTCGAGGGTTGACACGGAGGATACACGGAGTTGGATCTTCCTCTCTCGCGATGATTGATAAGAAGGGTACAGTTTCTTCGATTAATATGTAACGGGAGGAAAGGAAATGTAAAGGAAATTGCGGTGTACGGTTGAACGTTCAATTACGTTCAGAGGGAGGCATGGGTATCGAGTTTCCTAAATTCTATAAACGCGACGAGGGAAGCGAGATGCATTTTGTTTGCGTTGGAAATTATCCTAAAATCAATCTGTCTCACGGGTTTTCTCACGGAACGATATCAATGAAATTTGGATCAAATTGCGAAGCGCGAGTTGTAAACTTTCTTCCTAAAATTTCATCTCCACGATATTACCATGATGAAATAGCGTCGAATTGGCAAGCTTGTAATTTGCGACGCGTTATCGACGACGCAAAAAATTCAATAACGAACGAGAGAGAACCAGATCGTGCAAGGGTTGGTGCAATTATTCACGTTCTCCGACATCCGTTACGTTTTGTCCCCCGAAGCGAGGAATTAGCATACAAAGTAACCAACTCTCGATTTCCCCCAAAAGAAGGAGCGAATTAAAGGAAACGTTGACCGGTTGAAAAAGCCGATCCTCCGCTTCCTGGATTCTTTTTTCTTCAACCTGGTCCGAGGGTTAACACGGACTTGCCATTTACATCGTACTCGCAAACGAAACCTTTCCTCTCCCGCCTTCCTCTCGCCTAAGCCGAGTCCGTGCTTACGTAAGATGGAGCACCGCGTCACGTGCACGCGGCTCGCGTATAGATCGCGCCAAGGAACAAAAAAAGAGAAAGAAAAAAAAAGAAGAAAAAAAAAGAACACCGTATGTGCAATCGTAAGAGCGGCACCGGCGCATTAGTATCCGTCGCACAAGCCGAACTCGACGTTCCTCGTGCGCCGCGTCTAGGCAAAAGAAACGATAGTTACGAAACCGAGCAGTTTCTTACGTCCTTTTTTTCCCCCTCCCCTTCCTCTCTTTCTTCTCTCTTTCCCCCTATTTCCCTCCCTCTCTCGTTCCTCCTCCTCCTCCTCCTCCTCCCCCTCCTCCGTACTCGATTCGAAACCCGGTAGCGCGACGATGATTCGACGTCGTTATCGTTATATTCGACGTTAGCTAGCGACGTTAGCTTGCATCCGATCGAGAATCACAAATGCGCGCACGTATCCTTCGCTCGTCGTCGATACAACCGATCGCTGTACCCAGATAAAATCGTGGCAGACTACGTGCTTGTCCCTCTCGCAATATATATATATATATATGTATATATACGTATGCCAAGCGAACAAGCGTGTATCATTACGGTCGGTGCGTACTCGCAGAAATTCATATCGGGCTCTGTAATTATCGGATGTTTGACGGGCGGAAGGACAGCGGCAAACAGAGACAGTGAAAATTGCCGGTCTCTGTACGTACCGCGGCGCACAAGCGTCTCTCGGTCCACGTTAAATAGTACATCAACCTCGGTTGCGACGTTGCAGTCTCTCCTCTCTCTCTCTCTCTCTGTTTTGTTTTTCCTCCTCTTTACCTACCTACCTACCTACCTATGCCCGCCCCCCTTCGTCCTCCCCCTCCCCCGTGCAAACTCCCGTTTTTACTCCTCGCCCCCCTCCCCCTCCTCGCTCCCCGTCATCGTTTCGGTCTCGTTCGCCAATACTCCACTGACAACTCGCGAAACGAGTTTCACCTGACCTGATCCGTTCGATTTTTGTTGCAGGTGAAAATCTGGTTCCAGAATAGAAGAAGTAAGTACAAGAAGATGATGAAGGCGGCGCAGCAGGGCGGCGGTGGTGGCGGAGGGCAGCACGGTAGCCTCCTGGCCGGTGGAACCGCACTACCAGGGGGGCCATCCCCTCAACCGGGTCAACCCGGAAGTCTCATGCAAGGAGGTGCGTACAGGGGGTGTCTCGGACGTGGAGAAAGTGATTGTCTCGATCGTTTTGAGTGGATAATCCACGCAACGTTCGAGAAACGTTTAATTATTATTCGTGTGTATATTCGTGTCTCGAGGATCGAATCTGATCACGATTTCTATATACCTTTTAATGAGACCGAAAATATTCGGTTCAGTATCGGTTCTCGGATCGATATTCGATCGGATAGTTCGCCTTAACGAGACGAACGTTTTTTTTTTTTTNNNCGTTGAACGTGAACGGATTAATCAGGTCGGGGAGAGAAAAAGAAGAAAAAGAAAGAAAGAAAAAAATTCCGCGCAGCTGTTATCTTCTCGCGGCACGAATTTAATTCACGAATATCGGATCGGAAGATATAAATCAATTAAAGATGGAATCGCCACTGGCACATAACAGCTCGACAACCTTGCTCATCCGCATGTCTAGACTTCGAGATACAACTCGTTCCGATGAATCGCTAACGAACTTTCTGAAATCTCCGATCTAGATTCTAAATAATCCTTTTTCTTTCTTTTCTTTCTTTTTAACTTATTCCCATAAATCCTTCCATCGATCGATCTACTTTTTTCAACCACCCACATCCTCGAATATAACTCCTCCATCGATCATCTTTATATTCCAAAGATTTACAAAATATTTAATATCGACGAATCAACTTGTCCCCCCTCTAGATAGATCTACTCCACTTCCCCCTTCCACCTCCTCCTTAAATATTCGTAAATCAATCTCCGTTTTCTTCCCACTCTTTTCCAACCACCCGTATCCCCTACAAAAGACCTACAACCCCGTCCACCCCTTCTCAGTTCTTCCAGATCAATCCTCGCGAATATTTCCTCCCAATCCGTTAAATCAATCCAAACGACCCCCCATCAGGATCATCCCTCCGTGTTCCGTGGACGGAACACGCTCCACCCTCCCCTTCTCCCTCTCCCTCCTCCTCCCCCGTGCAAGATAAGTCCATATCCGAAGGAGAAGGATCGATCTCGAACCCGTTCTCCGTTACCGTTTTCAGGAGGCGGAAGTTCGGTGTCGGGCAGTCCGACGACAGGCTACCTCGGCGGCATGGGAGGCGGCGCGGGGGGTCACACCCCCGGCAGTTCGAGCCCCGGAAGCGAGATGTCGCCTCAGCACAACGAGAGCCCGCCCGCACCCTCTTGGCCGGGCGAGATGAAGCACCATCCGCATCCGCACGCGCCACCGCACACCCACCACCACCCCCACACGCCTGGCCACCATCCACCCCCGCCGCCGCCGCCGCCGCACCACGCGGGCTACATGCCACAGTACTCGTGGTACCAAGCGGATCCTAATCCCGGACTACTCACGTAAGTGACACTTTTTCTCTCGAGGGTGTTCGAGAAATTCGATTGTCGCGAATTTAGAAGAAATGGAATATATTCAGATCGGGTGGGGTGTTTGTAGAAACGATGGGAAAGGATAGAATCGTGTCGAATCGTTGGTCGTTTCCGAATTCCTTGAATTTCTTTGCGAAGATTTTCTTTTTTAATGAAAATGTACGTTTATAAAATATTAATAACATTCGGTTTCTCGAAATGAACGTAGAATTGCGGAAGATTATATCGTGGTTAAGGTATAGATAGTGTTAGTATTATTCGATTCTTGAGTAAATTCTTCAAACGTAACGTTTCGCTGTGAAATCGGTTCCTTATAATATTTCCATTGAATCAACGAGGATACGCGATAATTCTTTTTATAGATGTGGAGAAATTTAGAGATTGGAAGAGAAATTCCTAATTGTAATCGAAATACACGATATAATTTAGAAGAAATGGAATATATTCGTTCTTTATTGAAATAAAGATGTGTTAAACTCTAAAAATAATAACGTATGAATCGACGTAAGATGAAATCATCCGCATGGAGATAGAAGATACCACGATTAAATCGTTAAAGGGATACGAAGGAAGCAAAGAAATCGCACGGGAAACGACCCACCGTCCCTTCCCTCCCCTCGATTCCCGTTCTGGATGGCTCGAAGGGTTGGGTTCTAATGGCTCGTTCGTCTCTCGTATTTTTTCAGGGTGTGGCCGGCGGTTTAACGAAGATGTCCTTCGAGCTGTGTTCAGGAGGAACTGTTTCTTCGTAGCGCCGCGGACGTGGCAGCGCCCCTGCCCCAAAGTGCGAATACGTACACCACCTGTCGGGATGGAATTCACGTTCGATGTTAATAAAAAAAAAAAAAAGAAACGTTTTCCATTCCTTGTAACGACAGCCGCGTGTTCATATCGGCCGGTTTTTGCGGCCCCTCACGTTTTGGGCC